CAATTCATCACCATCTATCTATATCTCTAGATCGATTGCTGCAAAGAAGGATACGTGAACCGAATTCGACACGGCCTCTTACTCTTCGTAGTCCAAAAAAACACAACGAATCAAAATGTTTTGAGCAATCAAGCATTCAATTTTTGATGTTTGCTTTGATTTCAGAACTTGTTGATTGTGAAGTTGAGTCAGAGGAATAAGCACAACTGCGAAACGATAGAAAAAATTTAGCCCATCCGAACAAAAATCTTTTTCCAAGCAAAATTTTTAATTCTTAGATAATTTTCGACTTGTTTCTTTCAAAAATACGCGCCAGTAGATTTCGAAAACTGTAAAAAAAATTGCCGCAATCGTCTTTTGGCATCCTTTGGACCCTTTAGACATTATCAGCATTGGAATGATTCAACTCAAGCTGAAGTAAAATAAAGTAGCGCGATAATTCGCTACCTTTTTTCATATAGCAAAAATTTGGAGTGGTAACTTCCGCTACAATAATTTTTTAGCCACATGAAGTACGCTATTTACATTCGTTAGAGTTTCGGCGGAATATTTCTTTTTTCAAACTTCCGCTAGCTCGCTACTTTTCGTCTGCAAAGGAATGCTTGTTTGCCCCAATATCAACATATTTGACTCGTATGCAATGTTCATATTTTCATGAATCAGTTGATGTTCATGGGTCAGATTGACTTATACTTTAGCTTATATTTTACTTTACATTTCTCGACCAAATCCCAAGTCGGCAAGCCACAGGGAAATGGTTCCGAGTTACTGAACGCAAGGGCCGACCCGATGTACCGAAATATGGTTCAAGCGTTTGCCAGTGTTTTTTGTTTATACTACCTTGAAGAATTTTACTTACGTTCAGATAGAGAGCATTTTATTTATTGGAAGAATGGAAAAGTTTGATATTTTAATTAAACAAGATGATCTAGGTATTTCTTGCCAACATCTCGGTTTTTGATTTCAAAGAACTTTAGAGTACATTTACGGGAGACCAATCATTTTTTAAAACTTTTTAATTCATTGCACTAGTACTTTGAACGAATTCTGTCATCTTGTTATCAGAATGTACACCTTATGTGAAGGAATTCTGAATTTTATTGCATGATCCGTGAAGGTAATATTTTCATTAACTATGAGTAGGACATGTGACATGGCTCAGGCTCCAGTTCGAAATATTTAGTTGCAAATGTATCATTTTTCATCGACGTTTCAAACGAAAAGAACGCTTTATTGCGGTTAGAAATATTCAGCTTTCTGGAAATTAATTTTCGTTTTCGTCATTACTTAACATCTATTTATCGGATTTGTCTTCTTTTTTTTGGACACTAATTACTGCCAAGACTGAGAATCATCTAACAGGCTGTCGCACTCATCAGAAGACCATATTTTTGAGGACATATGTGCACCTTGGAGGACGTGTTTTGACTGAACAAGGAGATGACAGATCGAAATAAAGAAATCGAAGTAACAAAACAGAAAAAACGAAAATGTAAAATTTTTGGTGCATCGCATTATTTATTGCTTTTTGCAGCATGCATAGGGAACTGCTTAGCCTCGTTACGAAGTAATGATGACCATGGAACGCAACGGTTGAATATCTATCAGAGAGATAGATACCCTAGAACAATCCCATGCATTCTAAATGAACGAACTCATCATACACAATTGAAACGCAAGCGAATAAACAATGCAAATTTCATGATAACTCATCGAAGAGATGAGTGGATTTTAGTCTGTTCATCGATAAAGAATTATTGCTACGCTTGAGTTCTGCGGAGTATGAGTTTGAACATCCGATGAATTTTTATGCAAGTCCTGTTCGAAGTGTCCAATAAAAACTTCGATCAATAGCTAATACTCGCAATTCTGATGATACATAGAAGAAATCTTTCTCGGTTCGTCCCTCCCGCATATTCTTTTGTTAATATTCGGATAAAAATCACCAGAGAACGGCATACCGAAGCACTGCTTCATTCGTAGAGGATTTGAAACTTATCACTAAAAAGAACTTCATCTTCACAAATTGTTAATGCACGGGTGTTTTTTTGAATTCATAGATGAAANAAATGCATCAGAATCGTCTTCAAACAAATGAAACGATTAAACAAATCAAAAAACGTATTTCCACAACTACAAATACAGTGATTTAAGAAAACAAAGTCAAAAATGAGAGCGAACAAAGTCTTGAGGCAGTTATTTTTTAGAGCTTTCTTACTGAAAAAAAGAGCGAACTATAAGAATGATCTAAACTGAAGATGTAAATCTTCTTGAACTTTTTCGTTCCTTCATCCAAAAATCGAACATAAATGTTAATAAATAAAACAAAGAGAAGCAATAACTCTTGAGAGTTTGAAACGAAAGAGAACAATCATAAATGAACGAGCAAATTCGTTCTTCATTTTTCTTTCAGCTAAACAAGTGCAGCATTTTTCAGTGTTTACTTCCTTGCGATTCACAAGTTTTTATTGAAATATTGACCGATGAGGAGCTGATAAAGATGAAGTGTTTACTTTATAACATAAATCTCCCTCTGAAATACCCAGTTGCATTTCGTCTCATCGTACAATCAACATTTTTGCAGCAGCACAAAAACCAGATGAGTATTTACAAAATGAAAATCACGAAACTGATCATGTTGTATCCATCAATGAAATTAACAACCTAAACCAGCACCGAGAGATTCCGACTGGTATTAAAAGATATTCAGATGGTTTCGTAGCAAGTAATAAGCTTATGAAATTATGCAGCTATACGTAACATCGAGCAATAACACTGCTAACGACTCCCATTCATACTACTCGATAATCAGTCAAGTATTATAGAGACACACGATAAACAAAAGTGAGCATAAGCAGAAGATTGCTGATCTGATCACTTTTGCTCCACAACATGTGCTGTCTTATCTTAAACCGCAATGCAAGCAGGCAGCATCATAATTCCCATGTGAATAGCACAAATGGCAATTCATGCTTTGCTGCTTGCTTGACTATTGCTAGCACACTGCAGCACATCTCCTTTCAGAATAGATGTACCACTGCTATGGCTATTGACACCATATCTTTACACATCATTACCGCATTTTCTCACTGTTCCATATACTGACCCATAGCTTAAAATCAGGTCAGCATTTAACTATCATGATTAAACTGATTCTCTGGCTCGTTTCGGTGTTTCTCTCTCACGTGGCGCCTGGGTGCGTTGCATAGACACAGCGCTGGTTCTGAACTCGTAAATAAATTCATACTTATCTAGATGCGTTGCAACTACAAATTGAAACTCGGTATCAGATTTCATAAGGAGTGCATCCACTCATCGTTCGATCATTACATGCGCGATTTTGATCTTGTTCATTCAGCTTTACCCGTCACAAGTCAAGGGCAGCCTTACCTTTAGGACTCGTTCCGTTTGAGGGTCGACTGAATTTCGTGACAGACAAAAACCCGGCGGATGTATAAGAACAGAATAAATTATAAAATCACAAACACTTATCTAAAGAATCATTCGTGATATGAAAAAATAAAGGCGAAATTTTCGACAAATTATCTCTTAATGGAATATATGATTTCAAGCGAGAATTAAGTTTACTCGACAGAGACTTGAAGAGAATGCACTATTGGTTGGAGTTGTTCGGTCAAAGTAACTTTTGAAAAGAGGCCCAAATTCTTTGTCTGTTGGTTTGCAATCTACGTTAACCACTGTATGTTCAACTGCTGTGAAAACGAAGCTTCGTTAATTGAAAATTTTTACGACTTTTGAAATTTCATTAATTCATAGCAACAAGTAAGTGATTTTCGAATGAATCTACTTTATACCAGATCATAAATTTGTTATTTGACGAATGTTACGTGAACTGAAACTCTATGCAAAACGAACATCGCTTGTGCATGTATGCGTGCTTAACACGATTTAAGTTTCAATGCATTTCTTTTTCACTCAATATTCACTAACTAATAACTCAAATCTCCAATTATCAATCGAAAACGTCACAGAATTTCTCTATACAACATAAAAATAATAGGTATATATTTTTTATTTTTTAAATAGGTATATTTTTCAAACATCAGTCAATGCACAAAAACAATCTTCCCAGCAGTAGTCAGTCGTATCGAACTGAATCAAAAGGACCAAATAAAGCTTGTAATTTGTAACAACTTGAACGGTTCTTGTAAAAGTGTATGCCCACAAAAATAACCGACAGAGACTCACCACACCACGAGATAGCAACTGGAAAAAACTTCAAATTAACAAGTGCAAAATGAACCATTTACTTTGTAGAGTTCAGGAGATTAATATTCTAAACGGAATGTTACACAGCATGGGACGTATTCACGAATATTAGAAACAGAGGAAGTAAACAGATTCTATTTTCAAAGAGTACTAAGATGAACAAACTAACGTAGTAAAAATTATCAGCTGAAATAAGTATAGAGTCGTATCTTCCAATTATGCAGTAAATCACCTAAACAAATAACCGATAGTATTGAAATGCATCAGGCAGACATTGCTCATCATGACCTCAACTGAAGTACTTCTTCGATGAGCAACATAATGATACAAAAAATGAATATTACATACCTTTTGAAGTGCAGTAAAACAAAAAAGTTGTCAGCAATGACAGAAATTTAAATAAACGGATAAAGAATGGAAAATGGACGACGCAAAGCTTGACTTGAAACTGAATGATGTGATAATATCTTTACTCTTATTGGGTTTGAGCCAGGCGATGGTCTGACTGTACTTATGTGATTGTGAGCAAGAAATGAACGTTAAATAATGCGTACTATAGAATGGATGATGAACTGAAAACAGAACTGAATCATTGAGATAAATTTGCAACAGAACAATTGAAGCGTTGAACTATTCAAAAAATCGTATAAAATCCACGATCTTTTCTCTATTATAATAATACTGATGAGCACGCGTGCACTAAAGAAATTTTGTTATTTAATGATGGAACAGTTTATCAATTTAAAAAAATTAGCGTCAGTTGGCAGTTTTCAGATAATAACGACTAAACACAACGAACTCACCTCATCACAAGCGTTACATCTTGGTTTGTGCAGTTCCGCATAATGTCTTTCACAATAGATCAAACCATCTTTCACACAATACGTTAAATCGATTAATAGCTGAAAATTTTTTCTTTCAAATACTATCTCACTAACACTAATGTAAAGTTACGTGACTAAACTAGAGTTATGTGACACGATCGAGCATCATAAAAATTACTCACAATCAGTAATGAAAAAAGAATTCGGAAAACAATATAGAATAATGGAAACAATTGGTTTTCTGAATGCATTTATGAGCTTAGTTTTATAAATAGTGCTCCGCATTGATCAATGATCAGTTTAAATAACGATCATTTTGAAGCAAGTAATCAAAAGAGAGCTGTTGATCAAATCGAATACGTTCGACTGTAACGCTGTGACGATGTTAGCATGACATTACTTCAACACAAACAACCGACAGAAACGCATCTTGTTTTTGCGTGCGGCAATATTAATATTGTGATTACATTTGCGTTGATCACTTTCAAACTTCACCTGCTCACAAGTGTGACATATAAAGCATGCTGGATGCCAACCGCTATTTTCGCCCAGTTTCGGCGCCATAACAGCCATTTCGTTCTTTTCGAGAACTCCACTGCATTTCTTACACTCCTTCAAAGATCACTAATGCTACATTGAAAATGATTATGAAACAATCAACGGTGCCAAACAATTCAACGTTCACTTCATCGCAATATGAAGCTGCCTTTGGCAATAATCATCATCAGAGTAATTTTCATGCTTGATAAGAAATTGCCAATCAACAAAGTCGTTGCCAAGTTTCTTTTTGATAAATTTAAGCACTTCCTATCGTTAATCACTCACCGACTTATTACTTATAATTGAACTAAAAGTTACGTCAATCATGACAGTTTCTCATTTCTATTTAAAAAGTAGCGACTGAGTGCAGTTGAAAATCTTCCATAGATATCGCAAAATTATATTTCATCTTTCAACGAACTCCCTCATATCCGAAACAATTTCTCAGGCAAATGTTTATCAAGAACAATTCATCATTGTTATCATGCGCTTATAGGCAGCACATAAGATCACAATCAAATGTGCTGCGTAAAAGGTAATACGATTCAGAAAGGCTGCTAAACGACAAACCATTTGTTTCGATATGTTCGGGCATACATAACCGATATCGAGTGCAATCTCATTACGTGCGTTCACAAATTCGTCATAAACCTTACGCTCAACGTTATTTGCTAGATGCTTGCAATAAGCGGCTGATAAATCCTGTCTTGGAAGCTGAAATTATGCATTAGTTGATATATCACAAGAACTTATACGTTTGGCTATGAAATATGCAGAATCAATCGAGAGCAACATTCGTGAATTCAGTTTCAACCGTTCGATGTAGTGACGACATGAATTTCAGATAAAAACTTTTTATGAAAATGATATTATTTGAAGTGCGCAGATGAAGTGATTACTGAAAATGAGGGAAAGATAATGACCTGAAGCATGAGTTGTTTCTCGCGGTACTTTTCACCGTTACTGTTCACTCGTGGTACCACGTGGTTTGGCAACTGGGCCATATACTCTTCAACCTGCAGAACAGAACTATATCCCAATGAACGTTGTTGTGAGTTAACTCATTTGTAGTTTATTATCATATTGTGCTCTTATTGTCGTCAATGAAACTTTATGGTCACTAGAAAGAAAATTGTGCTGCGAAATTCATTATAGTTAAGATATCCGTTTAAAAATGGTGCAAAATAGAGACAAGTGGTTTGCTGTGGAGCTGCGATCATGATATTCAATTGGGCAAAAACGAAGATGAGTTCGGTTGATAGTTGTAATGACATCCGACTGACGCTCGGTCGGAATTCCGACATTCGGGTTTCCACCGAACAATTTCGACAGTCGGAGTGTTGAAATTCCACGTTGATTGGATTCCTATCGACATGGAATTTCGCTCGCTCGGATGTCATCACTAGTTGGTAGTGAGATACTGAGGAACAATTTGATTGTACGCATGTATACCCCTTTATTTCTATCTTTTCACCTCAAAATCGCACTCCAGAACCGTATATAGAGTTAGTTTTTGTTGATTCAGCAGAATTAGTTTTAGTCATCAAAAGCGGTAATAATTGAAGGAGTAACAAATGCAAAATTAGAACTCACAGCATATTATTCTAACATGCAATCACAACATCTCATGCTGAAGTGAGAATTTACGCAATGAAAATTACTCAAACTAAAGTCAAAATAGTGAATAATGAAATGAAATGTGAATGACGATTTGACGTTAAGGATCACATATTTGTGATTATCGAATAATGATACAATTCTCTACAGACGGTTGTGAAACAGCAATTTTTTTATAGTCAGCCGGTCAAAACACTCAATCAGAGTCAATAAACCATTTCCACAATTAAACTGTTCATTCTTTCCAACAACAAACGAATCATTATGTTCACCAAAAATGGTTGGAAACTGTACACAAAACAGTTACTTCATTAACAACTATCAATTGTAAGTTGAATAATCAGAAAAGAAATTTGTGAGGTGACTATATCAGCAATTTCTTGGACTAGATTTGAATTCACAGTACCTTCTTTCGACTTAATCCAGGGGGAACCCATGAGTATCCATGACTCACTGAGCCGGGTGCGTCGCTCTGATCAGTTGCGCTAATCAGTGCTGCCATTTTAGCTGAAGAAAATGTGTAATTAGTAAGAAGGATTCCAATAGATTGAATGTTGAATGAAAATCCATACAGTTACAGCGTGACAGTTCACTCATAGTTTGAAAACGACGAGCGTAGAAGTGTTGACTGTTTAATGTGTGATGTAGCATAATATTTCATAAATACACAGAGCGATGAGTAGTTGGCTTAAAAGTTTTGGAATGCAGCAGGAAATGACTTGAATGATGGGAAAACTGTTGTGTTGAAACGTTCGATCGTTGCTGTTTGCGCATTGCAAGCGCTTCATTGCTTAACACTGTACCGCTGACATCCTTCAGAAATGTTTTGCTTATCACTCAATACACTCACGTTAAAGGTTCTTCAGAAATATACCGATAACTTCAGTACATTTTGGATGTTTTGCTTATGCCATAGATTTCAATGCTAAGCTACTGTGACAAATTTTGATGCAATCTTATGCAGATTACTTATAAATTCTAAAAATCTGTGAAAGGAATTGAAAATATTAGGACATGGATGTGTAACTAAGCGATAGCTTTACGTTTAACAGCATTTAAGAGACTTGTATATGGCATCCGGTAAAATGATTTTAGTGAAACATAGATATACATGGTTATGATACCATGAATTGTGTATAATACTTGCTGAAATTTGAAAAGCATTTAAATTTGAATACATCAATAAAGATATGCAAGCAACTCACGGGTCGGCTCTATGCCCACTCTCTCATAAACGCTTAGGCTTCGACTGGTGCCAAGATCGTGTTCACTACGATCGCACTTGCAGTGAACACAAACTTTTCTGAAAATTTGATAAATCACTTAAATAAATTTGCAGTAAGAACTGTTGTCGTTCACTCGGAATTATTACTAAGCTATGGTTCAAAAACACTCACATGAATCCTTCCACTGAGATAACTAGTTCTATAGTGAAGATATAAGTCTAATTACATGCTTTCAAACATACTCAGTCAATCAAACTTAATCAGAATCTGATAAGAGTGTTGAGTAAAATTTGATAGGTTAGCTTATCTATTGGGGGATACATAAAAATGGATTGAATGCCTCCATGACCACCTATCACCATAATGTGTGAGATATAAAACCGACTTTACAAGCATAAACAAACACCTAAGTGATCAAAAATACTAAGACGAATTTCTGCAGGTGATTTCTTGATGATCAAAAGCTGAAAACCTTAAGATACTCAGTAAAGTCATGATTGCTGATGATCATCTTAAGGATAAGCAATATGGTTGTTGTCACCTCAACAAGAAATGCTAGTTGAAAAAAAGGACGATAAGTCAAAATGCAATGACAGCGAGCATAAGATAAAAGCGAAAAGGATTGGAGGCGATACGAAGCAAGCGCAAATCATTTAGCTTTTTCGAAGACAAATTGGATTTGACAAAGGCAGATTGTGTTTTTAAAAATCCTAATTGCACAATCTGTTGCCTCGTGGTCGCATGCGATTTGGAATATCCGATGCAAACATGCTCAATCAATGAACTGAATTCACGAGAGATTCGAAACTTTAGTGGGAAAGAGCATGCAATTGACGAGATGAGATACATCTCAATTCACAACCATATCAGTAAATAGAATATGAATGAGATTTCAAAGGGAATTTCAGCAATAAATAAAAAAAGAAACGTATCAAATAGATAAATATTATCATCAAAATAATGTTGTTACATTCGTTATTAGCTTTGATGCGATATGCTTCATTCACCACAACGATGTCGTTTCCTTATTTCGCCTAGCCCGCACTGATTCATTATATCAATTCAAATAGAAGACTACATTATAGTAGAATCGATATTGAACGACGAGAAGAGCATTTCGTTCAAGAATGAGCACTTGATACAACGACAAGCTATCATTGAAAGCTTCGATATGAGAGTTATTCAACCATATGTTTCAGCAGCGAAATTTTATGAATTTTTGAGATGTTATTTGGAAATTTATTCAGACAAATGAATTGATTTCAAGAGAACCACTCAACTATAATCATAGCATGTGGATATTTTTTCATATTAAGCAATACTGGAAATTTTTTTAATGGAAGGATTTTCATCTGGACGATGCAGGAAAAAACAACATGTAGAAAATTGATGTTAATCATCAGCGATACACGTTGACAGCTATTAGAGAGTAGTTTTTGAGTATGGTGCATCAAAAGTGAAGCTTGGAACAAGCAGCATAGCACACAATCAAGCAATATATTGCAAAATGCTTGAAATCAGCAACTGTAAATTCTCAAAAATTTTTGGGACAGTTTAACCATTTTCTTGCGATCAATTGTAATTAATCATTAGGTGTGGCAGAAAGTTCTGGAACAGTTCGATCCGAAATTTCAAAGTTTTATAACTCGGCTCAACTATCTTCCGAGCATTTTCACTGTTGATTGTGATCAAAAAAATCTATTCGAATTGGAATCCGGAAGCGAAAAATATGAATTAAAATCAGTGACATGTTCCAGATATGAGTATCGAAATAGTCAAGAAGTTTTTCGAATTTATGCAAAAATTGTTTTCCAAACGGCTCATGGATAATATGACCGTTCACTTTCTTGTTCCATACATTCAACCATTGTTTTTCCTGTTTCCTATGTAATCATTTCAAAGATGCAATACATACGAGCATTCCATGTTAAGTGCTGAGTTAAAGCACATAATTAGCCCATTAATAGCATATGTTTTATGGACATACGTACATACCCTTGGATA